GTTCGGGAGACGAGCGCCTCCAAAACCTACTCCGGGGATCCCCCCGGAGCGGACACACCGGGCAGGAGTGTGATCCCCTGCACAGTGCAGCCGCCCCGGTGAAACACCACACTACCACCTCAGCACAACAAAATAACAAAAACCTAACCTAAGTAACCTAATTATATACAAAACCTAACTAACCTTTTTTTTTTTTTTTTTATCGTGTGGAAAAATCTTCAAAAGACCGTCACCCCGCCGGAGGGATGGCGAGGTGGTGTGTGGGACTTGTACCCACTAAAAAACCACACGGTGTACCTACGAGCGCCTATGCCGGAGCCAGGGGATTCGCAAGTGCATTCTACCCCAGCTCCGACGGCGACGGCCCGCCCTGTAGATGTTGTAGGGCAGGCCCCATCTCGTTTTGTGGTTAGGGCGACCTATTTCGCCCTACTCCATTGTGGAGGCGTGTGGGTACACGCGCACACCTCCGGGGCCTTTGGATTGGGGGACTGCCTCCCTCAAGGCAGTCACCCCGGCCCCAGTGGGGGATAGAGGGGGGCGGAGTTGGGTACGCCCCCACCTCTAGGCCTGGCTCTTCTGCGGCGGAGGGAAGCGGGACGATCTGACTCTCGCTCCCTTTCCGCCGCCTCCTTCCGCGAGATAACTTCCTCGCAGAAGGAGCTCACCGCCAGCCACGATCTCTCGCTACTGATCATCCTCCGAACTAAATTCGGCAGCGAGAGATCGTCCCCCACTATTCGTGTGAGGACACGGCGCTCACTCTCGAACGCTGGACATTCGTCCAGCGTGTGTTGCGCCGTGTCCTCCACACCTCCGCACTCGTGGCAGCCGGTCGTCGGCTCCTTCCTTGCCACATGACACAGATACCGCCCGAAGCACCCGTGCCCGGACAGTATCTGTGTCATGCGGTACGTCAGTGGCCATCTCCTATTCATCCATCTTTTGAGGATGGGACGGACAGCCTCGACGGTCCTCAGGCCGGCCGATGGACTGGCCAGCCTTTCTCTCCACCTGATCCTGAGGATCCGCCGAAAGTCGGACCTCCGCGCCCCAATCTCATGGCCAGCGGGTGCCTCCCCATGGAACGTCGCTCCGCGCGCAGTGATACACTGACGCGTGGAGCTCCGCTACCAAGTCCCACGGAGGAGACCCCGCCAGCAGACCCGCCGCTTCCCCGGATATGGTGCGGTAGCCTCTTATGGCCCGTATGGCCATGACCCTGTGTGGCCTGTTGAGACAGGCCACATTTTCCCTACCAAGGGCCCCCACCCAGATGGGGGCCCCGTACAGGGCCATGGACCGCACCACGCCGAGGTATAGGCGGCGGGAACCTTCTCCCGGGCCCCTCACGTTTGGCAACACTGGTGACCCCTACTGGAACACAACCTCACCCGGGAAACTACTTGATCATACCCGATGTTCTACAGGATCGGGCCCAGAACCGACCCCGTGGAACACCGTCGACACACAACATCCGCCCCGACTTCATTCTAACCTAACTTAACCAACCTTATAGAATAGATCTGTGACCAAAATTTCTAGTGTATCAACACAAGTTTTAACAAACTTCAAAATTCATTGGGGTGCACCCAGGTCATCCGGAACATCATTTTTATGTCTACGGAAATTAAGAAGGATATGAGTGATATCTCGTTGGAGCTTGGGACCTGTGTGTAAACACTGGTTTAATGAAATACCATTAGAGGTTGGACTACTTCCATTAAAAACAACACGAATTTTAGAGTGGTCGTCGGCCTTAAACACTCCATGATGGGGAATATAATAATGCTCAAATAATGATGGATTATAGGAAATGGGAGACATATGGTGAAGATCTATGTACTCACGCATAAATATAATATATTTTTCACGAAGCTCTGAGTTGGCATTGAAACGTCTTTCTAAATTTAGGAAACACTTAACCGTTGTAGACTTGGATTCACCAAGCTGGGGACGATCAGAGATAAACGGAAGTCGAAGTAAACCATAAAACGACCGTCACTCTCACGGGTGATGCCATTCTTAAAAATACGTTCGCACTCTAACTCCTCAGGATTGGGATTGAGAATTTGAGGCAGTTCCTCAATTTTTTAAAATTTCTCTACGACCTGGGATAGAGAAATGCCAGTCATAGGGGGTTCAAGGTCGGGGAAATTACCAGCAACAAGTCCAGACAATACACAACCAAAAACGGTTGAAAGGCCGGTCAGACCATGAGGAAGAGAAATCGATTTTTCAGGTTGCATAAGATAACCGAACACGTCAGCACCTAACAATACCTCAATAGGCTCGGGTTTATAAAAGGAGGGGTCCGCTACGGAAAGGTGATTAATACTATTAACGATAGGCCTAGGCAGCTCAATCTCAGGATGGGGGCCTGCAATTACATCAACAACCACTGCAGGGGTTGTTATCACAGGATACGATCTATGAACTGGTTTAAAGGTAAGGGAGATAGAACCGCGGGAATATACAGATTGAATGTTGCCAATACCGCGAATAGGTACTGAGTTTGATGATAAGGGGACATTCAATCTCTCAACAGCTAAGTCGGTAGTAAGCAGACAACCTTGTGCGCCTGTATCACATAACGCACGGGCCTCTATAAAATAACCATAAGCCGATTTGACATGAATAATGGCGGTAGGTAGGAGGACTAGGGAATTGGAGGGAATAGACATATGTGGTGAGAAAGCAGGGGGGGATGGGGGATACAGGTCCTAGTTATTGGGACGAGACCGTGACTTATGGTATGTTTTATCTCGGGAAGTGACCGCGGGGGGAGAGAACGTATGACGATAATCTTGTCGTGAGTATGTAGGAGGAGAAGCTCGACGTGCAGGTGATAACGAATCACAACAGGGAGTACGGCTGTTATAAGGGGGACGGCCCCCGCCCGCTCGGGGAGGTGATGTACGCGGTGCACTATGCACAACAGCATTGCGATAATTTGTATTATTACGATTCTGATGGTTAGGATAAACAGGATCTCGAGAATTGTTAAAACACAGTAAGGTGTGATGGGAGGACCGAGCACAGACAGCACACCTGTAATCACGTGTGCAATTAGCTATCAAGTGTTTATCTAAACATCGATAGCACAGGCCAGACGATTTAATAAAATAAGATCGGTCACGTGGGTTCATATCACGAAATTGGGGACATTCACGTAAATAATGGGAATCACTATTACACATATGGCACTTCTTATTGGAAACTGGTACCTGGGAAACGTAGGCACTACGCGGGCGGTTAGATTGCTGGTTATGCGAGTATTCAGGTCTTCGTTCAAACGTACGGGAAGTTGGGGCAGAATCTACTAATGCTGCATCACCTACATTATCATGGTGGCGGCACTCATCCTCTAAAAAAGTGATGATATGATCAAACTGGGGCAGTCGATCACTATCACCACCGTAACGCCGCTCAAAACGAGCCTTTAACTCAGGGGCAACTTATTAAGGCATATGTGCACTAGCATATATGACCAAGTAGTCACAGGTAGCTCTAAGCTTTCCAAACAACGATAATCTGTTAACAATGGGTTGAGAAACGAAGCACGTAATCCATTCAATTTAGGGGGTATGTTAGGTTAGGTAAGGATCTGTGTTATATATGTATCCGCCAGTATTCGCGTATTATGATATCTCCGCTTTAACAAATCACGAGCGATAGGGTAATTCTCTGCTTCAATACGTAAATGTAATAGTAGACGTTTAGGCTCACCCGATAATGCACCAACAAGGTACTGTAACTTATTAGTAGGGCTAAGGTCAGGCTGGGAATCGACAATACTATCAAATTGGTCGACGAAGCTCAAATAGGATCCGCTTTGGCCATTAAAGGTATGAATAGGTAAGTTGGGTAGTTTACTTTTAATACACATTAGAGGGGAAGATATTAATGGAAGCCGCTTAGGAGTACTCGACTCTGTAGGGGGATCATGTAACAATTTAGGCTGCAACTCACTAAACCAAAGCCGCAACTCATCTACCATAGGCCGCATTGACTTAGATAAGGTTAGGGTATCTTTATACTCCTTCGTATCAATCACCGGGTCCAAACCGCCAAGGAGACAATAACACGGTTCATTAAATTTAGCATAGTTCTAATTCAGTTCAGAAAGCCGCACGATAAGCCTATCACGTGACGCAGAAGGCAGCAAAGTATAAGCATCCGTAATCCAGTCACTGATCAATCGAACAGTACCCATTGACTGACGATACTCAACAGTCTTACTGAATAAACACGCTTTCACCGTATCATTAGGATTCGACATCTTTATTTTAATTATTAATTACCACAAACAAAGAAATATTTAATAAAATATAAAGATATAATTCACGAGTATTTATAAAGGCCAAATAAAATATAATAATAAAAATTATTATTATATTATCAATAATCAACTATATTTTCAACCAAATCAAGAATGTACCTAAATATTACTTAATACAGAGTGAGCATACAAAGTACCATAAACACAATATTCTCGCATACAGAAAACCAGTTTAAAATCATAACAAGTTGTTATCAATAAAAGAATGTGTTACGCAAGCCTAGTATAGAAGGACTGCTGCATTTGCACTGTCCCCAATAAACATTCCACGCGGCAACAAATGCTTGATCAGCAATGAGCATCACGCCATATCGCGTCATGCCTATAGTTACATTTCATTTTTATAGAATTATATAAATCAATCATATTCTGTTCTAACATCGAACTATAAGCATTGTAATTGATGATGACAGGACTATATACTAGGATCCCCTGGTCGTATGGTCGGGCGGCGAAATAAAAATGCTCGGTTGTTATCTTGTACTTGGTAGGAAGGCACCTATCGGGTCGCTGTCTCGCCGGTGAATGCGGACCGCTGCGCGGCCGCGCTCTTTATATAGACGCCCGACGGGTGGCCTTCCCTACTGCAACTGTACGTTGCGTGATTTATTTTTATTAACAAAAATGATCTTACAAATTTTGCTTATACTAATTATATCTAATTGATTCCGTCGTGTACATTTCTCCCGCCGTCGCTATCCTGCGATTCTACTGGTAGCACGACGATTCGTTTTGTTGGTCTTCTCAGGGTGCGCCCGTTGCTCGTTGTGATGTCTACCACTCGCACCGTGTTGGGGTTATCTTTCCCGGGGTAGGTCTTCACAACGCGTCCCCGTGGCCATGTATTTCGGGGTAGGTTGGGGTCGCATATGATGACTGTGTCGCCAACCTTGGGGGGAACACCGGTACCTCGGGGCTCCCGCCGGTGTTGAAGTAAGGGTAGGTATTCCACCACCCAGCGCCTCCAGAACTCATCTGCTAACGCTTGTGCTCGTCGCCAATGATGTCGTGCGTTCATATCTCCTTTGTTGAACACTCCGGGATTAGGCACGTGTGAGTTGGGGCCGATCAGGATATGGTTCGGTGTTAATGCCTCCGGATCGCTCGGTGTGACGGACACGTGAGTGAGAGGTCGGGAGTTGACTGTATTCTCCACCTCGGCTAGCAGGGTCACCAATGTCTCGTCTGTGGGATAACGCTCGTGCAGCGTAACTCGTAGGGCTTCCTTTACTGACCGCACCATGCGTTCCCATACCCCGCCCATGAAGGGAGCAGCGGGTGGGATGTACCTCCACGCGATGCTGCGGTTGGTGGCCTCCTCTTCTAGTGCTGCCATAGCCGCCTTGAGTTCCTTTTCAGCTGCCTTGAAACACGTAGCGTTGTCGCTCCATATTTCCGTTGGACAACCTCGCCGAGCCATGAACCTCCTTAGGGCGGCGATGGCTGAATGAGTGCCGAGGGTATGCACCACTTCAATGTGTATGGCTCGTGATGTCATACACGTGAAGAGGGCGCCGTACCGTTTTTCTCGGTGCCGTCCGACTGTGGTTTCAATGGGGCCGAAGTAGTCCAGCCCTGTGTAGGTAAAGGGGCGAGCGTGATGCGCTAGGCGGGCGGCAGGCAGGTCACCGGTCGGTGGGCTTGCTGGCTTCTTTCTTCTTATCTGGCAGACCAGACACCCCTTGATGACGTTCCGTACTGTGGGTCTTATTTTTACAACCCACAGCCGCTGCCGTAGCTCATTCACTACCGCTTCTATACCGCCGTGGTGCATTGTTTCATGTATATGTTGTATATACAGACGTGTATATCTGTGTTTCCCGTCTAACACGGGTGGGTTGAGTACATCCTTTTCTACGTTCGATGTTGCTGTAATTCGTCCTCTTAATCGCAGCATTCCGGTTGTGTCGATGTAGGTACTTAGCGCTGTCAGTCTGTCTTGTTTATTCAATGGACTTCCCTTTTTTATTCGCAATATTTCATTCCCGAAACTATCTTCCTGGCAGGCTCGCATCCACATTCTCTCGGCTTCAAGTAGGTACTGCGCTGGCACCGGGATGCTGGGCGTCGTTATTTTCGTTCTTCCATTTCTTGTTATGATTTTTTCATTATTATTTTTTCTCCAGTCAACATCGCCCTTTTCATTCTGCTTGGTTCGTTTCTTCGTGGCGGCTACAATATTTCTTTGAGGTCGACAGAGATCGACAAATTGTAGCACGCGCGCAGTCGATTTGATGAGCGGCAGCCACCGCGAGAATCGGTCGATGTCAGGTAAGTGTGCGTGAGCCGTACTTGTAACGGTCACATGGCATCTCTCTCGCTCTTCGCCCGTGACTGATATCGCTGTCCTTGTTTCTCGCGGCCACTCGTTTTCTGGCTGATGTAAAAATGATGGCCCGTTGAACCATCTGTGCTGTGGTCCGAATTCGCTTGGTATACCTCGGGTGGCATCATCAGCTACATTTTCATGTGTAGGGACCCACCGCCATTCATTTTTTTTTGTTGTGTCTTCTATTTCAGCCAGGCGGTGAGCCACAAAGGTCTTAAAGGCCCTTGGTTCTGACCTTATCCATGCTAGGACTGTCCGAGAGTCGCTCCAGTATGTTTTATGTCTACCACTCGCTATTTCGTAGTCGTGCTCCTCCGCCACGGTATGTGCGAGGCGCGCACCCATTAACGCAGCTTGAAGTTCAAGTCTCGGGATTGAGACGGGCTTGAGCGGTGCGACGCGACTTTTAGCGGCGGCCAAGGTGACATGTGTGGTACCGTCGGCTCTTTGTGACAGCCAGTACACTGCCGCGGCGTACGCCTCTTCACTGGCATCCACGAAGGTATGCAGATGATGGGTGACCACTGGTGTGACATCATAGCATCGTGGTATGCGTATCTTGTGTACAGTTCGCAATGATGTCAACCAAGTACTCCATGCTGGCTGCAGTTCTTCTGGTAGCGATTCGTCCCAGCCTGTTTTATAGCGCCATGTATCCTGCAGTAATCTTTTCGCTGGCGTTGTGATGGGTGATATGAGGCCAAGGGGGTCGAAGAGTGCCATGATGATGCTGAGCGCTTCTCTTTTCGTTGGTATCCGTTTGTTTTCTAATATATCTTGCGGCGTTTTTATTTTGTTAACTTGAAATCCAATTATGTCTTCATTTATATCCCATAACAAGCCGAGAGCTCGCTCAGTACCGCTCCCGCCAATCAGAACCGCTGTACTATTTGTCCCGCTCTCTGAAGTGTTGTCTCGCTCGCTTGCTATAAACTCGTCGATAGTATTGCGATTGTTTGATGCCCATCCGCTGAGTACGAAGCCGGTTTGTTTATGTATATAATCGACTTCTCTTGTTATTTTTCTGGCTTCTGAGATTGATGAGAAGCTTTGTAGATAGTCGTCCATATAATGATTTCTTCGTATAGCGATTGCGGCGTCGGGATATATATGCGCGTAGTCTTCTGCGTTGCGGTTTTTTATATACAGAGCGGTGCAGGGTGATGACGTCGCTCCGAATATTAATGACGTCATGCGGTACTCGTCTGGGTCGCCCTCCCGCCGGTCACCTCTCCACAGGAAACGGAGCGCGTCGCGGTCTTCTTTCTTAATTTTTACTTGCATAAACATCTCTTTGATATCTGCAGAGACTCCGTAGGCGTACTGTCTGAACCTCATCACCACCCCAGGCAGTGATTGCAACAGGTCAGGTCCAGAAAGCAGCAGGTCGTTTAGGCTGAGACCTGCAGTCTTAGCGGAGGCGTCATGCACCAGTCGCGGCGGCTTGTGTGGCTTCGCTGGGTTCGCAACCGGGAAGTGTGGCAGGTACCATGTTCTGTCTTCAGCTGGCGGTGTCTTGGCGTGCTCTGCATACCCCGACGTGAGTAGGTTATTGATTCGTTCGTTGTATTTAATTTTCAGGTCTTCATCTCTGTCTAATCTCTTTTCGAGGTTATGCAGGCGTTTTCTTGCTTCGGTGTAATTGTTCGGTATTTTCATGCTGTCTTCTCGCCAGAGTAGCCCAGTTTCATATCTTCCATTCGGAAGACGGCGACTTTCTCGTTCTAGTATTTTCAAAGCTCGCTGCTCTGGATCATTTTTTGGTTTTCTGGGTTCGATGCATAGTGACTCCAGCTTGAAGTAATTTTTCATCATTTCTTCTATGTTGACGTCATCTTTCTTCTCCACCAGGTGCCCGCAGAAAGTCACCGGGTTGCTGAGAGACGTCTTGCAACCATGCAGAACCCAACCTAGTAGCGTGTAGGATGCTACCGGTTGGTCACGACGTCCCGCCCGTACTTCTCTTGACACGATGAGATCCCAGTTATCTTGTCCTATTAATAACTTGGGGGAGGCACGGTGGTAGACGAGTTCTTCTTGTATTTCTTTCAGGTGACCACACTCCTTTATGTCGCTGTCGACGACCGACTGGGTAGTGATATCCAGTCGATCCACTGTGCGGACTTGATCTAGCTTGAAGATGGTTGAAGAGTGTTTGCCCTTGATTTTCACGCTGGTTGTCTTGCTGTGTTCATGCTTGACCATGGCGCCGACGCCCTGTATCCACATCGTGTTTGCCGGACCATCAATACCCAGGATGTCAGCCACCGATGTATCGATGAGTGTCACTGTGCTGCCTTCGTCGAGAAGAGCGTATGTTTCTATCTTGCTCTTCGGCCCTTGCAATATGACAGGTACTATTTTCAGATAGGCGCGACGTCGGAGACATTCTTCATTGCCTTCCATCGTAGAAGTTACCACCCCATGCTCTTCTGGTGGTTGTTGAAGCTGGTCCTCTTCTTTTCTGTCATGATGCAACAAGTGATGGTGTTTCATGTGGCATCCAGATTTGCCACACCATGGAGCTCTGCAGACGGCGCGTCGATGTTTACTTCTCAGGCACTTGTAGCATATGTTATTCTTCTTTGCAGTTTCCCATCTTGAATTAACGTCGATGTTATTGAATTGCTCGCAGTCAGGCAGCTGATGGTTGCGTTTGCACAGCGGACATACATTTTCATTGTTTTGCTTCATATTAGTAGCAAATGAATGTTCGATCTTCCGTCTCGCTCTCTCCCTTGTTGCCGTCTCGCTCTCAACGAGACGTTCCGGCGCGGCGTACGCTGCACATTTGTCTGCCTCTTCGTTTAGGAAGACAGACATTTTCTTCAATTCCGGGATGTCTTCCTTTTTCAGCGCGTAGTCGTACCATTTATTTTTTATTATAGGTGTGAGCTTCTCTATGATGAGACGTGTCATTTCTGGGCTGTGTAGATATTGTGTTTTCTTCAGTGCTTCAATCGTAGCGACTGTGTTCGCTATTTTGCCGGCGAACACGCAGAGATCCCGTGGGTTATCGGTGATCTTGCTCAGTGACTTGATTCTATCCATCTCGATGAGTATGAGTGCTTCTGGTCTTCCGAATCTTCTTTCCAGTGCTTCTATGATGACATTTGGTTCATGTTGACTCAGGAGTAGGCTGCTCACGGCGTCTAGTGCTGGTCCCTTTATACATTTTCGCAGGCGTGCTACGTTTTCTATCTTCGAGAAGTATTGCTGTGTATCTTCGTAGCTTGCCTTGAATGATAACCATTCATAAGAGAGGCCCCTGAACATAGGCAACTCTTGTATATATGCAGGCGGCTCCCTTGGTCGTCTTCTTGATGCTTGCAGTAGTGCTGTCGTTAATGTCGAAACGTCGATGGTTTGCTGCGGTTGCTTGAATTTCCTCTCCGCGGCTGCCTCATCTTGTTTCTCCTCCCGTGGCATAGGAACTTCTTTTTCGCGTGGCTGTTGATCAAACCACGCATCCACCCACGTGGAGTCTTCATTTTCTTCTTCAGAATATTCTTCCTCGGAGTCTTTTTCTGCCCGTAAACGTTGTAATCGCGCTATCTCCATATCTGCCTCTGCTTGCAGCTGTTTGATTTTTAACTTGGCCAGTCGTTCTTTAATCTCCAATTCTTCCAGTTTTTTCCTTGAGACCGTGGAACGGTGTGACCTCGCCTTCACTGTTTTCTGGGAGGTGTCTTCTCTATTCGGTGAGTCCTCCACTTGACTTGACTGCATAGAGGATTCGGCGCTTGTTTCGTTTTCGGTGGATTCATGCGAGTTTTTCGTTTTAGTGCCTTCTTCATTCATGCTTCGCGTCACGACCATCTTGATTTTCTTCCTGGTGCAGGGATCCGGCTTCTCGAAGGACCACAATGATGATGACAGGACTATATACTAGGATCCCCTGGTCGTATGGTCGGGCGGCGAAATAAAAATGCTCGGTTGTTATCTTGTACTTGGTAGGAAGGCACCTATCGGGTCGCTGTCTCGCCGGTGAATGCGGACCGCTGCGCGGCCGCGCTCTTTATATAGACGCCCGACGGGTGGCCTTCCCTACTGCAACTGTACGTTGCGTGATTTATTTTTATTAACAAAAATGATCTTACAAATTTTGCTTATACTAATTATATCTAATTGATTCCGTCGTGTACAGTAATTATTATTTTATATTAATAAATATTATTATTAATATATAAAATTTTTATTATTATTTTTTTTTTTTTCTTCGACTAGCAACACCAACGACAGTTGTCATTTTCAGCTGGCCGTAATAAATAAATAATTTTTAATAGTCTATCACACGAATATTAGATGTCGAAAACATCGTTATTAGTGATATAATAGTGCAATAAGTGTCGATTATTGTTTGTGTACAATTTGGTAGTGTATTATTCGCAAAATTCGACATTAAAATAGTGCACCGGCCATCTGTAAAAACTTCTTTCGTTGGTAAACAACTAATTTTAAAACTATTTTATAACTCTGTGTTGGACTTATTCAAAGAATTTCATAATATATACAAGTTTTATAGAAAATATTCACATCAAGTTAAATTGATATTAATAATTGTGAAGTTCAGTTGTTGCGTACGTCGAAGGAAAAAATATACCCACAAAATATATTGTAAGTAATTTTATGTTTTATATTAATGTAATTTGAAGGAAAGGAGCACAATCTAATTCCATTTACTTAATCTTGTAAAATATAGGTCGTATAAATATACCTAACAAAAATTATTCAAAATTTTAACACATAAAATAAGTAAGGTTCAGTTGCTGTTCTCGTTGTGATACTTTTTTAGAAATAACTCACTTCACTCTCCCTAGTAACTATTCATATATTCAATAATGTCACTATCTACCCGTTCCACAACTGCACGGCAGACAGAGATGAAGCTTAAAGTGGCCCTACAAGAACTTCAGGCATCCAAAGATCTCAGTGACAAGTTGATCAGGGAGAGAGAAGAGAGTGAAGATGAAATTTTAAAAATTATAAATAAAAATACCCAATTAAAATCAGAATTGTCAGAACTTCATAAAAGCCATCAGGAAGTTATTGAGCAGCGGGATCAGCTTCAAGAACTAATAAGTAGCTTTCATCAATGTAGTGACACTCATGAGCAAGCCTTGAGGCGTATCACTGAATTGGAACTTAAGTTAAAGCAGGCATATTCTAAAATCAATGATCTAGACACAAGATTGGAATCTCGACAAAGTAATGAGATTAGTAATTTATACTACAGTTCCATGCACCCATCCTGTTGTAATTGACCTTACTAGTGATACATCACCTAAATTAGGCAACTATAACAGTAATATTTGTATGTTGAGTAATAATAAATTTAAAAAATATTTAAAACTAAAAAAGTTTATAATTAAGAATCGGAATATATTAAATAAGCGTTGCAAAAAGGGATAATTATTGAAAACAAACACTTTGAATAATTTAAAATTGCATGATTACATTAATAAGTGTAATAATAAGTTAGTGGAAAGCCAAAAGTTATATGACATTGATACAGACTACCTAACTTCAAAAATCAATAGTTTAGAATCTTCGCTTCATGATTTAAATACAAAGTATATTATCTCTCAGAAACAAATCCAGGAGCATATTTTAGCAATGGATGATCTGATTGATGTCAGTAAATACAATACTGACCGTTTTGTAGTCGTTGACTAAGCATTGTACATGTAATCACACAAATATATCAAATAATAATTCAGTTGTAACTGTGCTGGAAAATTAAGTTCAGGGTGTTTGTGCCAGTGACTGTAACCCTAAGAGTAGCACAATGGTGTTCTCTGACAGAATAGGCTGTAACTTTGGGTCTATTTTGAAGTATCATCTTAAGGGTGATTTATTAAACTACTGCATGCCAGAAGCATCATTTACACAAATAATAAATAAAATTAAGTCTACGAACATGAACAATATGACCACAATTGTGTTATTTTTTGGTAATAGTATTCAATTAAATAGGCAGGATGTAATTAAAGGAATTGAATATTTATTACAATTAAATGTGTATAAGATTGTATTGTGCGCTTTTCCTTACACAAATAGACATCTTCATAAAAAAATTAACAGTAAGGTACATTACCTGAATAACTTATTACATACATTGACATGTCGTCATAGTGACATTTTTACATTTTTTTGATACTAATAGTTTTATTAGTGATTTTTATTTGACAAAAGATACAATGTATCTTTCTAAATCATCTAAAAATAAAATAGCCACTTTAGTGGCTTATAATATTGACTACATGATGATTTGTTTTTGTGGGTAGCTGTGAAACACAACAGACGTAAAATTACACCTCTCTGTTTTAAATTTATTTATTAATTATTTAAAAGAAAAAGTTTTAATTACTATTTACATGAATTTGTAAATCTAATCTATTATCTACCTGCTGTGATAATTTTCCTTTCATTCTTCACTTCAAATCATTTCAAATGGACACACTGCACACTACAATGGCGGGTATGATGGAGCACTTTAATAAGACTATGGCTGAGTTCCAAAACCAGCTGAAGGCAAACAACACACCAGCTACAGTGCCTTCGCTTGAATCTGACTTTGTCACTTTCCGGAGCTTTATAACAACTGCACTCACTAGTCTTCAGAAGCAAGTGGAAATAATTGCCCGCCAACAAGAACAGATGGAGATGCGTAGTAGACGCAAAATGTTGTTGCTGCATGGAGTGCCAGAGTCACAACGGGAATCTGTAGCCCAGGTGGTAGCGAAGGTCGTCATAGACAGGCTGGACATTGGAGACTTCACCACAGGACATATCTCTCGGTGTCACCGTCTTGGTCGTACATTGAAAGACAAGCCTCGCCCGATAGTTGTGAAGTTCCGTGACTTAGACATCAGGCATGAGGTATGGTATGCCAAAACTAAACTTAAGGGCAGCGGGATCACCATGTCAGAATTTCTGACTGCGGTCAGACACAGTGTATTCATGGCAGCTCGACAACACTTTGGCATCAAAAACTGTTGGTCGCATGACGGTTTCATCGTCGTCGCTGATGGGGATGGTACAAGGCATCGCATAAGTTGTTCTGGTGAGCTGAGCAAGCTAATTAGCTCATTGCCGGCCTCAACAGTCCAATCTGCATCGACCCCAGTCATTGCCAAAGACCCTGCCGTTACTACGATTCGATCAAAACGCCATAGAAAGTAGAATTGTTTGTTATTATTGTATGTCGAGTATTTCTTTATTACTTATTCACTGTAGTATATACTTTTTCAATTTAGTTTTACCTCAGAAACTCATAATTATTACGCTACCTACGAATTAATTTTGTTTTTCTTTTATATGTAAACATGTCAATAAGTAAAATATTAAAATCCTTATGTCTAATCAAAACTGTCAACTAAGTGTCATTGTTTATCATGTCAAGTTTAAATGTCGTTGTCTGTGTTCATTAGTGTTGTCAGTACGTAAAATAATCACTTAGAGACGTTCCGTTGCACGTTCATTGTTTTTTTGTTTTGTTTATGTATATTAAAGGTTGAAAAAATTTAATATGTAAAAATATTAATTAGAGATCTTTATGTGCAGGTAGATAATATTTTAAAAATTGTTAATTAATTTAAATTTTTTAAAAGTTATATTTATTTAGTTATTTGTTTATTATTTTTAATAATTAGTATATAAATATATGTTGGAAGAACATTACTCTTCATTTTCGAGTTCGACATCTAGTTATAATTCTACGTATAATGATTTTATTCCCCTTAATGAGACTTTAAATATTAACTTTGAGAATACTGTAAAAAATTTTAATGTGGTGCATATTAATGCTCAAAGCATTCCGGCCCATTTTCCTGATTTTCTAACATCTTTTAATGTCGAAAATTTACATGCTATCTTAATTTCAGAATCATGGTTAAAACCTTGTCTTCCATCTGTCTCCTATTCCTTGCCCGGTTTTAACCTGATTCGTAATGATCGTGTCAAGGGGGTGGTGGTGGAGTTGCCATTTATCTTCGTGACTATATTTCTTATAAAATTATCCTCTCCTCTGATATATCCAACCCTTCTCTAGAACCAGAATTTCTTTTTATTAATGTTGATTTCTTGCACTCTAAAACTCTTTTAGGTGTTTTTTATAGTCCCTCATCTTCCATTGATTATTTCTCTTTCCTTGAAAACACCCTCGAAAATCTTATCCCCTCCTTTCATCATACTATTATTATGGGCGATTTCAACACATGTTTACTCAAAACTGACTACCGTGCTAACCGCCTTAGATCTCTTGCTGATTCCTGTAATCTGAATATTCTACCTCTACAGCCGACTCACTTCTTTCCAAACTGTAATCCTTCCCTATTAGATCTTCTGTTTGTCTCCTCCCTTAATCATGTTGCTAGGCATGGTCAGTGTCCTGCAGATGCGTTCTCCTACCACAATCTCATTTTTCTTTCTTACAAAATCCGTCCTCCTAAACCTAAACATAAAGTCTTAATGCGGCGTAGTTTTGGTGGCATTGATCAGGTAAGATTGCGTAACGATGCGTCTGCTGCGGACTGGGTGGCTATTCACAATGCAACATCAGTGGATGACCAAATTAGATTATTTAACTCGCTTTTATTGGAACTCTACGACCGACATGCTCCTGTTCGTCCAGTACGGGTTAAACATCTCCCTGCTCCGTGGTTGACAGATGAGATCAGGGCTCTGCAGGTTAAAAAAAATAAGGCCAAAGCGAAGTTCAGATCCAATCCTGAGAAATATCGTGAATATTACATTCAAGCAAGGAATCTCTGCAATAGGGCTTGTAGGCATGCTCAACGTCGCTACATTCACAAATC